ATTGTTAACAACTTTGCTTCCTTCTTTTTTTTTTAATCTTGTCATGATTTTTAAGGAACATAAGGACTCTCCACTTCTTCAATCATTTCACTGTAGATTTTTCTTCCTTATTCACTAACCTTCCTTATTCACTACCACAATAGAACTCTGTGCATGAAGTGTAACAGAAAAAACATGATAAACAGAACCTGAACATTCTAATAATAGCAAGACTGGGGAGACTGGCTTGGTGAGGGAACTGGAAGTGCAGTACTGATGAAGCAACAAATTTTAAGTTAGAGTAATAAAGCTGATGTCAAATTTCAAAGAAAGGGCTAATTTTAACCATATTGGTAACTAATTAAAATTATATCTTTTAAACTAAGAAATCCTAATGACTGAGGTAGATGATGCTGTTATCAGATACTGAATTAGATTTAAGGTATAAGGGAAAGAAAGCACTGATGTAAAATTATCTTCATTTAAATTCAGATGGATAATTAAGAATGCTTCCAATTCACCATTCTAAACATGAAATCCAGGTATGACCTATCTGGTGCTCACTTTTCTATTTGAAGATGAACTCAGCAGTTGGTGAAAAGATCCACACGCTAACAGAATGGCAAACCACAAAACAGTTGTCCCCGTGAAAAAAATCAGTTACTCTGCGTTTGATATTTCCACCTGGGCTCATTCTCAACTGTTCAGGATGTGGATTTCTGAAGGTTTCTTCAGCATTTAACTAATTCTTTGTTGGATGAAGGGGCCGGGACTGTTTCTCCACACATAAATTGATCCTAAGAATGAGAAATGACATTGAGTTCTATATCACAGGTGCATTAATACTACCTTCATTTTGTTAGAGATTCAATCCAATTGTTAATTCTCCCATTGCTATATTGCTTCATTCTTGTTCAAGGCCAGCACTAGAATTAAAATTTTAAAAGTATACTGGTATTCAGTACTGAATTCATCATTTAATAAATGCCTTATAAACATGCCCATCTTCACTTGCAAGCTACCATTTCTTGGAAATAATGTAAGGGCATGTTACATTTTCTAAGTTTTTACATTCATTATTTCAAATTTTGGTCATTTGAAGTTATATCCTTTTCAAACTAATCCCTTCTTTCAACTAGAAGGAATAGGTCTTTATGTGTTTTTCCAACACAGATAATCTGTAATGTTAGACACTTTTTAAATGAAATCCAATCTCTGATAATTTATCCTGATTTATGTCAACTGCCACAAGAACACTCTGCCTCCCAGGCTACCCCTGCAATCTGATCCCTGAAGGATCAGCTACTACTCTGTCCCTGAGGCTCTACTCTTCCTGCCTCTGGAATTCTTCTACCTTGCTCTTTGGAATTCATGGTCCACAATGGTCCTTATTCTCAACTCTTCTTTAAAGTGTTACTTTGCCCCTAATGTCTGGAAACATTTTAGGCTGATGCACCTGAGGGTTGCTTACTATCATCTAATGGGAAGAGCCCAGGGATGCAGCTAAACATTCTACTAAGTACAGGTTAGCTCTGCACAACAATGCTAGGTTGAAATGAAGTTATAACCCAGCGCAGTTTCCCCTAGGTCCCCTTCTAGTGTTTTCAGAGCCCTAGTACCACAGGGATTGGAAGTGGGATTGGCTCTTTTCTGTCCCCATTCTCTTCCCTTCTCTAAAATCAACCAACTTTGAATCTTATCTCATGAGACCATACCATCACTAATCTTCTCTGTTGCTGCATCTATCCATCCCAAATCCCATATTTCAACCCCTCTGGACTTCTTCTTTATCCCTACCACCTTTTCAGAGTCCCTCATTCCCTAGATGTTCTCTTTACCTAAGTTCACATTCAATGGTCAATTATATCCGATCTTCTCTATTCACTTGGCGAAACCACAACAATGGTGAAATCTAACTTCCAGTGTCTATAATGATGGAGCTGAGGATTTATGATCTGAAAACCTCTGATAATCCTCTATCACTACCAGTTATTGTACCATGTCTCTGCTTCTCTTTGTAGCAAACTATTTTAAAGAAATGGTCACACTTATTGACTCCTATTTCCCCATTCTTTTTTTTTTTAAAGAATGATTTTTTTTTTTAGTTGTTGATGGACCTTTATTTTATTTATTTATATGTGGGGCCTTACACATGCCAGGCAAGTGCTCTACAACTGAGCCATAACCCCAGCCCCTATTTCCCCATTCTTTCTGACCTATTTCCCATCTACCAGGTTTCTCCAATCAGGCTGTCCCCAGTCCCTCCCTGAAACTGCTCTCAACACCTCATAAGTTAATTGTGTGTTGCCAAAGCCAATAGTTATTCTCAGTTTTCTTCTAACAGTGGAATCTGACAAGAATCTCATTCCTCCCCCTTTTCTCATCTGGCTCCCAGGATATGGCACTGTTGAATTTCCTCCTTCTGCAGTGTTTGCTCCTTTTCAGTTAGCTTTGCACATTCCTTAACTTCTTCCTTGACCTTTTAATACTAGAGCACCTCAAGACTCAGGTCTTTCTTTTGTCCATTTCATCTATATTCAAAGTCCTGGGGATCTCATCCAATATCCTGGCTCTGAATACTATCTTTTGCTGGTAACTCCCAAATTTATACTGCCAGCTGTCATGCATATTCAATTGCTTTCTCAGAAGCTCCACTTGGATGACAAATAGCCTTCTCAAACTTAGTATATCTACCTCCCATCTGTGTACCTATAGTTCTGTAACCCCAGCTGTTAGTAATTCTACCCTTCTAGCTAGATCAAAAATGCTAAAATCACCCGATTCCTCCCATACTTTAATTCCAACCAGCAAGAAAATCCTTATCTTTCAAAGTGTATATAGAATCCAACCACTTCTCACCACCTCCATTGCTCCAGTCTAAGCCATTTCTTGCTTTGATTAGTGTAACAGCCTATTTGGTTTTCCCATTTCTCTCCTTGCTCCCTCAGTCTACTCTGAACCAGAAGCCAGAATCATCCTTTTGAAACATAGGTGGGGTTATAGCATTTCTGTTTAAAAATCCTCCAGTGGTTCCCTCCATCATTCACAGTAAAAGCCAAAGTGTCTCTTCAAATCCTTGTGATCTGCCCCACTCTCTTCATCTTGAACTACTTTCACCCTCATTTGCTCTAGTCACTGGCCTCTTTTTTTTCCCTTGACAAAACCAGGTATATTCCTGCCTTAAGATCTCATCAATGAATGTTAATTTGCCTAACTCTATGTCACATATGTAAATAGCTCTCTCTCTCATCTTTTTCAAATCTTTACTTATATAAGGCCTTTCTTAATAAATAATGTCATTAGTACCTTATTTTAAATTATAGCCTCCTCCCAGACTGGCACTCCATATTTGTTATAGAACACATTTTAACACAAGAATAAATTATTGAAGTTCTACATTATGGTCTAAATTATAGCCTACTTCTCTTGAAGTCTTGTCTGCACTTTCCCTATACTAATATTAGAGTTCATTTTTAAGAATTCATTAGAAAAATAAAACTTTGGGGGAGAGTCGGCAGTAAAAAGATTTAGTTTTTTCTATCATCAATATCCTTGTGAAAGACAACAGGATAACTGAAGAATAAAATGCAACTTCAAAATGGCAATGAGGAATTATATTCAAACAAGATACTCAAGTTCTACATATAAGCTAAGCAAGAAATAATATGTAACTGTTCCTGTCAAAATGTGTCCAGGGGCTCTGAAAATAATTTAGTTACATATGAAATAGAGGAACAGAGTGTCAATTAAGACATTTAAAATTATTTTTCTTCTATATAATACATAATCATTTCCATTAAAGAGCAGTTTTCTTTATCACTCTCTTCAAAGCTAAAATGAGTTACATAATCAGAACTGTAAATTTTAATTTATGATATGGCTGTTAATTAGTAATTTTTAAAGCTTGTTTTAAAAAAACAAAAACAGCGCGCGCTTAACCCAGCACATTGTTAAGGAACAATCTTCCGCATTTACTTATTACAGCCAGGCTGCTCTAGGTCCTTGCCACTGTCTCACACTCCGCCCCCCCCCCCATTTAAAAATTGACCCCTTACTTTGTCATAAATCACTTTTATAATGAGAGAGCAGCTAGGACACGTTGCCACGTCTTCCCCATTCTCCAAATCTTCCTATAACGAAATCAAACAACTTTTGGTCAGCACAGTCTTCCCTTCGCTATCTCCTCCCCATCAAACCTCTCCCACCTCTATGTGGCTTGCAAGGTGGGTGCGAGCCCAAAGAGCCTTCCCCCTCACTTAAGGGAAACACCCAGGAAGGTCAGGAGAAGTTCCATTGCCTCAAAACCCCTGGGAAACAAAAACGATTCCTCTCTTCCAAAGAAGTATCCCGGGAAGGGACCCTTAAGGGAGACCGGGGAGTAACAAAACCGGCTCTCCTTGACACCCACTCCCGGACTAAACTGAAGGCCAGAATGATGTGCCCGCTGAGAGTTCAGGGAGAGGGATGGGTTTCGAAACAGGGAACAGAGAACATGGGTGACTCAGGGCCGCAAGGATGACTGAAAGCAAATGCGCTAGGAACAGAGCACAGCGAAAACGCGCCTACTCTAGTGAGTCCCCGCGCGGGTCCCTGAAGTTACCTTGGTGATGGAAAAGTTATCCCCACATGGACAGGGGTAGAAATACGTTTCGGAGTCCTCATCATATTGGAAGTCCTCGATCTCCACCTCGTCGTGAAACACTGCCATGGGGTCGTTGGGGCCGGCAGAGGGCAGATGCCCCAGCCGTCTGACAACTCCTCTGTTGGTCTAACTTCCCGAAAGCCTGCTGGGACCCCGCGCCGTCACCACGCACAGGGGCAGGAACTACCGCTTCCGGCGCATAGACAATGACGCAACTCCGGCCTTGGCCGCCAAATGGGTGACCGGGTCCCGGTCACCGTGGAGATGATTGAGTTACGGGTAGAGACACTGGAAAGATGGCGCTTCCTGCTCAGCAGTGTCGCGCAGCCCTACTCCCATTGGACAGCAGCCACCAATAGCATGCAAGGCTCGCTCGTGCTGCCATTACGTCACCCCGTGGACCTCGGAGGCTCCATGGCGGAGGCGTGGAATTTGGAGCTGGGCTATAAAGTCGGTGTCCGGGGCGGCTGTAGTGTGCAGCCCGTCGCTGACTTCAGGAGGTCTCAAACGGTCCGCCGAGGGCTGCAGCTTTCACCCACCTGGCCCTCAGGAAGAGGAGGGCGTCGCTTTGGTTCCAGACGGCGGTAGGAGCAGCTCAGCGTGCTCTCTACCCCTGACGGGTGACAGACAACCAGCTCTCTGGAATTTCGCTTCAGCTAGTGACCTTGAGCCCAGGGCGAAGCCCAACTTATATCTCCTGGCGCAGGTACATACCCGCCTCTTCCTTCACCCCAGACATCTTCAAATATCCCGTTTTGTGTTGCTGAGAAGACCAAGATCTGGAAGGCAGGGACTGAATTCTAGTTATATATTTGCCAGGCATATAACATCATTAACTACTATGATACGTAGTAACAGTAACATTATTGTTGTTATTCTTATTATTGGTAGTTGTTATGTGCCAGATATTGAGCAAAGTATAATTCTCCCACTAAACCTGGGGGTTTAAATTTTCATTTTATTAATCTTTAAACTGAGGTACAGAGTGGGCATCTTGACTGACCTCACTTACCTAGGAAATAATGAAGAGCCTGGCCATCTCCAAAGCCCAGGAACAGACTACCAATGCGAACCCCAGTTTCTTTGTAAAAGGAACGTTGTGGATACGTTGTGGATACGTAAGATTATCAGTAGAAGGCCTGTGTATATCCTGAAGCTGAATGACAATAAAAAGTGGTTTGTCTTTGAAAATAGTGCTAGTACCTGTTTTGGTACCACCCCCTCACAATGGGGTACTACTCCATTACTAGGCAGTTATTCACATACCAATAGAAAAGGAATGCAGTGTTGAAAAAGCACTGTTGAAAACCAGAAGATCATGACTTAGAATCTGACTCGATTGCAAATGAGCTCTGGTTGGAGATTTACATTCTTCAGGCCCATTTCTCTTCAAGAAAACATTGGGCTAGAGATGATTCCAAGATCCCTTTCACTAGCATTCTTCTATTACTTGGAAATCGAGTCTCACTTGGTTTGGCAATCAAATAAAACTTCACATTTTCATAACACATACTTAATACATCCTTATGCTTATGTACTTACACTCAAGTGTTTCCATGAAGTTATCAATTTTATGCACACTGGATAAGCTCTGCTTGGATTTTAGCCCTTGTGTTTTACTTTTTGTTTGTGGTACTAAAGATAGAACCCAGGGCCTCATACCTGATAGGCAAGCCCTCTCATGCTGAGTTTTATCCCCAGCCCTTAATTTTGAGGTATGGTCTGTGGAAGTTGCCCACACTGGTTTTGAATTTTAGATCCTCCTGCTTCAGTCTCCTGAGTAGCTGGGATTACAGTTGTGTGTCTTCAAGCTCTTTTAAAGCTTGGAAACATGAAGGCAGAGAAGTCTTTGGGAGAAAATTCCAGAAGGACACTAATGGAGTTGGTAGACAGTCATTTCAGAGGTTCCACAAACAATTTTTGCTAAATTGGAGATCTACCCAGCAATTAGGTAACATTTAAAACTTGTTGAGGGTTAACTGGAGATTCAGGTGTGTCTGGAGAAATCCCATTAAAGCCCACACAGCTGTGTGGTTGCTCTTGGGATCACTTAGACACAAATACTTCCCAGATAGTCTTTTGGAGATAGGCGGAAGTGTTCCATTGATTACAGAACTTTCTTTAATTCTTATATGAGCCACTTTTGAATATACCGAAATGAATGCAAGTCATGTTTTGGTTTATAGGAAGCATAAATTGGAAGGTTCATTTATAATTATATATATATATATAATTTTTTTTTCCTTTGGTGCTAGAAATTGAACCTAGGGCCATGTGCAAGTTAAGCACATGCTGTTTCACTGAGCTAGAATTACAGTCCTTGTAGGCCTTTTGGAAAGCAGTTTGGACTTATTCAAAACAGTTTGCTGCCAGGCATGGTGGCATATGCCTGTAATCCCAGCTGCTTGGGAAGCTGAGGCAGGAGGATCGAGAGTTCAAAGCCAGCCTTGGCAACTTAGCAAGGCTCTGAGCAACTTACTGAGAGATCCTGTGTCTAAATAAAATATAAAAAAGGGGCTGATGTGGCTCAGTAGTTAAGCACCCTTGGGTTTAATCCCCACTACCCCCCCCCCCCAGAAAAAAGGGAAAACAACCCACCCAAAACATACCAGTTTTCTGGAGCATCTTAAAATCTTAGGTTAAAATCCTAAAAGTTACAGGGGATGTCAGGTAGTTTCTCTTTGTAATTTTATAACTTTAAGAATTATCTAAAATGGAAAAAAGCAACACACCACTTATTGGTCGTTGACATGTGCCAGGCACTGTACAAAACTTTTGTAGGCATTATGTTGTTAAAACAACCCATTGAGGTGTAGGTATCATTAACATTGGGAAACCTGATGGTTAAGGCAAATTAGTGAGTTGCAGTGAGCCATGGTGACAACTCACATCTTTCTGATCCTAGAATTTAGGCTCTTAATTAACTGCAATGCCATTTATGATGTGATGGTGTTTCAAGCAGGCTAGTTGAAACAAACCTTGATTTGGTTATGCTGATTCCTCTGAGACCTAGTGTTGGAAATGGAGGGGATTATTCTAGGCCTTCCATTACTGCTTTTATCTTACCACCTGTTGTTCATCCCCTTTGGCCACAGGTGGTTCCTCTTGTGGTTCTGACCAGTTTGAGCTTGACTGTGAACAAAGAGAAACCATAGTGAAGCACATGATGTATGTTCATTTTTTTGTTTTGTTTATTTACCCAGTGTAGTTAAAGAAAACATTGCAGTGGCTATTGATTTTTACATTTATTCCTAAAAAGGAATAGACACATTTTGTAAATACACATTTTTGAACCCTGAGTGACAGAAGCAGATTTGCTTGTTGCTATGGTCATTTGAGATCACAAGTTTATCTTTTACCATAAATGTTAACATTGTTTATATGGAAAGTAACAGTGACCAAAATTCTTAGTATAATATCAGATTTAGAACTGGGTCATAACTGTGTAACAAACTGTATTTGATGACTGCTGTTATGTATCAGGCCAGGGGGAGTTGTTTATTGGCACTATCAAATCACTACTTCTGTAGGTCATTTGGCAAAGAGAAGGGGGTTTTTAAGTTTTTAAGGATTTTGTATTAACACTCTTGCTTACCGAGTACTTCACAGGTGTTATTTTATTTATTCATTTCATCAATCCAGTGAAGCAATGTGGGTGTTGTTAAAATGGTAAAAGATGCTTTGCCCAAAATTGGAAAAGGGCAAGAAGGAGTCAAATTTGAGCCTAGTTCCACTGATTCAAAGTCAGGCACACTCCTCATACCACTTGTATACCACTGAGTTTTCCTTACCAACCCCTGGAGTCCCATTGCTTCCTCTGTGACATCTAGGTTTCTGAATTGACAAGTGCCAGATTGGTCTTCAAATTTACTTCATTTCAGGGGATTCATGGTCTTTGAGGCATTCTTGTTGCATTTGCTGCTGTCATATCTCATCCAATTTATCAGCAAGTTGTAGGGCTCTAATTTCAAAATAATTTCATGTGAATCTATTTCTGCCATCTCTATAGCTCTTATCCTTTCATAATGCCCCCTTCCCCTGCCCAGCATTGGAGATTGAACCCAAGGGCACCCTACGACTAAGCTACATCTTCAGCCCTTTTAATTTTTGATTTTGAAACAAGGTCTCACTAACTTGCCCATGCTGGGCAACTATTTAATTTAATCTGGAAGGAACAGATTAAATTTAAGATTTGAGACAAATTACAGTGATTTCAGTTCAACAAATACACTCAGTTCATTCAACAATTCCAGGGATGCCAGGCACTATTTGTCATGTCATCTCCTTGGACATGGGGTAGGTATATCAGTTTTTAAAAAAAAAAAAAAAAAATTATAATTTTTCTGTTTTAGAAATAGTTACAAATTTTGAACTTGTGATCCTCCTGCCTTAGCCTCCTGAGTGCCTGGGATTACAGGACTGCGCCACCACACCTACACCTAGTTCCTACCGTACTTTTAGACTGGAACCTCCTAACTATATTTTCTGCTTTCCACTTTTGCCCTTGGATAATCCATTCTTCACACAGCAACCTGGGTAATCATTTAAAAATGGATCATGTCCTCCTGATTTATTCAAACTTTTCAGTTGCTTCCTAGTGACTTGGGGTAAAGTCCATTTGCCATGGCCTACTGTGATTTGGGTCTCAATTACTTGCTCAACTTTCTTTCATTCTCATGTGGATTATTAAATTTTAGCCTAAAATGTTAACCATACTGCTCTCTGGTGTCACTGACCTTGGTTCCTTTAACATGCTAGACTTTTCCCTTGTTTTTGCCTTTGTTCTTGCTTATCCCTGTGGCAGAATGCTCTGCCCTTAACATCTGCTTAGTTGCCTCTTAATTGTTCTGGTTTCAGCTCAAGTGTGATCACTTCAGAGAGGCCTACCCTGATATTCCCCCACTTACCTACTCCATCTCCAAGGAGATGACATGACAAATAGTGCCTGGCATCCCTGGAATTGTTGAATGAACTGAGTGTATTTGTTGAACTGAAATCACTGTAATTGTCTCAAATCTTAAATTTAACCTGTTCCTTCCAGTAATTTGTTTTAGTACTTCGTTATGGATATCAGTTTTATCATTTATGATAATTTTTCTGTTTTAGAAATAGTTACAAATTTTTGGTATAGTTTGTGAGGATATACACATCTATGGAATATTCATTATATAGTTTTGGAAATTACTTAATATATGTTGATCTCCTTTGATTAAACCCTTTGGATATGTGAGTAAAATCCTTGGACAGGTAAAAGTGGGTAATTTTTTTAAATACCTTATTCTAAGGACTGGCATTAAAAACTTAGAAAGGCACTTTGAATATTTTTAAAAAATGCACTTTATTTACCAGTAGGTGGCATTCTTGGTCATGATGATTATTACAGAGTTTTAGAATTTTAAGAGAATAGCTTTTAAAAATTAAAATTTGCTTCCAGTTGAGAAGTAGTCTATTCAAACAGCATAGTCACTAAGATGTATTCTATCGTAAAGACAATTTATTTTAGCAGTAGCTGTCTAAAACAGCAGAACAATATTTTATATTTAACTGTATAGCAGTTAAATTTAATTGGGGAACCTGATCTCAAGTGACATCTGTCATTTTAGCCTGTGACTGTGGTTGTACTTTTTTCAGTATGGTAGGATCTCAAACTGAGCAGAACCATAAGGAACCACCAGTGGCCAGACAGGGCAGGTGGCCAACAGATGGCAGGATGAAAACAGTATAGAAAGGTATTTTATGGGGTGGGTATCCTAAGTTAAGGAGGTGGGTATCTAAGCAGGAGGATGAACAAGAGAAGCAATAAGATAAAAAAAAAAAAGAAGTGGAACCATGAGGGGGAAGAATTGAGAATGGCCTTGCTGTGAGGTCATGCCTCTGATTACAATGAGCCTTTCCTTTCACAACTGATACTTACTAGGTCTTTTTCTCAGTTTCCTAAATCATTGTTTTTACGTGTTGTCCTTGTCCCTGTTATCACAGGAACTTGGTGAGAATGTCAGTATAAGGAAAAACTTTCCATGGTCCAGCCAGTGTACATCCAGAGATGTCAGTGTAATACCAGTGGCAGACTGTGTCAGTCAGTGAACCAGCCATATCCTGAATGACTCCTAAAATCTCATGGACTTCTAAAGTAAGTTTCACCTTCTTTTGGTGATGAAAAATCATTTTTGGTTTAGCACATTTAAAGGAGAGAAACTACATTTAGTAATATTGCATGAGGTGAAAAAGGCCTTATGCTTTTTTTCCATTTACTAGAAAAAAGTAGCCCATGGCATGTTTATTTGTAATCAAGCTGCATCATACAATGGCAAGAAGAGTTTTTATCTAAAGACTAGTTACGAAGCATTGGGCTTTTTAAAATCTGATTTGGTTACAGCTGACTAAATACATCTGACTTGTATCACCACCTGATTTAATCTTATGCTATTACAGAAGCAGAGCAGATTTAAAAAAAATTTTTTTTAGTTGGAAGATGGACATAATATTTTTATTTTTATGTGGTGCTGAGGATTGAACCCAGTGCCTCACACATTGCAAGGCAAGTGCTGTACCACTGAGTGAGCTCCAGCCCAGAGAGTAGACTGACAACTGTATTTGACCTGATGAGCACCATCCAATTCTTTAATATTTCTTGCCAGAAATTAGTGCAAGAGAAAGACAAATTTACTGAGGTTCCCAAATATTTAAAAACCAAAACATATAAGAATACTTTTCAGAATATCCCAAACTAGAAAATATCCAAAAAGGCTACTAATAGAGTAAACAAATTTTGCAGCTTGTATCTGCATACATGTTCTCTTTTGATCTCCCAAATCGGCCACATGCTGCATGATTCTGTCTTCAGAGGACTATATATATGACCATATCTTCCATTCTGTAAGATTATAATGCTGAAAATTTCCTGTTGCCTTATGGCATTGAAGCCTTTGTAACATCTCAGAACAGCATGTTACTCATGCTTGTGATGATGCTAGTGTAAACAAACCTACTGTGCTGTCGCTTATATAAAAGTATAGCATGTATAATTATGTACTGCTGCTTGTCAATTGACGTTTATTTTATTATATGCAGTGCTGAGAATTGAACCCAGTGCCTCATACATGCTAGGCAAGTGTTGTACTGCTGAGCCACAACCCTAGCTCTTGTATTGCTACTTGTAAAGTTTACTATAAAGCAATATGCTGTGTTATGCTGGCAGCAGCCTTTTATCTCATGGTTACTGCATTTCTTGATTGCATTAAGAGGCCATGTTGAGTAACCTATGCTGTGTAGGTTTGTGTAAGTTCTATATGATGTTTGTATAATGACAATATCATCTGATGAAGCAGTTCTCAGAATGTATCCCCATTATTAAGTGATGCATGACTGTGTTGTTAGCATCAAGAAGTACTTACATGCTGTACAGTTACACTGAATCGGTTCTGAATGATTGCAAAAATTGTCAGGTAAAGTCAGGCCCTTTGCTAACTGAACAACTCATAACTGTACCAACAGATTGAAACTCTTTTTCACTGTTTCTTTAAATAGTCTGATGTTTCCCCAATTTTTCTTAAAATCATTTTAAACTTCATTCTTTTGTTTGCCCAGGAAGTACCATGGCCTGTGCTGCTTTCTTGATTTCTGGGTTGTTGCGAGGCTATGTGGGAGCAGTCTGCACTCGGGCTGCTGCTTCGAAGTTGACATCCAGCACTTCTCGCCCCCTTACTTTCACGAGGTGAGTCATTAAGCCTTCAGAGCTGCTGAGGGTTGCGTGAAGCATATCAGACTCCAGAAAGAGGCAGCATCTTGGCTTAAATATGCCTATCATTAATAGATCATTAAACTTCTGACCATTTTATAGGATCCATAATATGTTGTATTTTGGATAACTGTGATATTACAGGGGAAAATAATTTATTATTTTTATGAGGATAATACTTAATAACCTAATTTTACTTTTTATTAAAGCATAATGAAATCCAAAAGGAAAACTGATCACTTGGAGAGAACTGCAAGTGTCGTTCGCCGGGAGGTCTGTATCTTTTGGGCATGACAGGTTTTTCTGGTTGGACAGTTTGTGCATGGTTATGACAGGCTTATGGGGAAGGCAAGTTTGTTATTTTTCTTAAAATTTCTAAGGATATGTGATAAATAATTTGAAAAGATGACAAAAGTCTTCAATTTTTCCTTTAAGCTTGAAATGAATGGGTTAATTTTTGAAGGCTGGAGTATGGCAGCATTAAGGGAAATATCCTCACAGGTTTGATGTTTAGAGTTACTTTAGAGATAGAACTACTTAGAGAGTCTATATTTTATGAATACCTTATCATTTCTTTTTTCTTTTTTTTTTTTTTGGACACCGTGTCTCCAAATCCTTGTTCATCCATACTTTAGAACCACACTTCCTATTTCATCAAGGGAGAAAGCACTAACATCTGAGAAAGGAAGGTGTACAGTTTTTCCACCATATTCAGACTATAGAGAGTTAATCTGCCACCTGAAGGGGTGTCAAGGGCTGAGAACTAAAGGATCCTCACCCTTTACCTCAGTGAGTAACTATTTTCATTTAAAAACGTAAATGGGATATTTGATTTTGCGCTTTTGAGTGTTTTTCACATATTCAGATACGTTTAGCTTAGTATTAGGAGTCTGTTTAAACTATTAAAAATAAAAAGCTTTTTTTACACTTCTACGAATGTGATCATAAATTGTATTGGCTTAGTAGTTTTAGTGTTAATAGAAGGAGATTCTGTAACGTTTAGGCCCTACTTTAAATTAATTTAAATTTAATTCTGCTTTCAGAAAATTGCTTTGGGATGGACTGAGGGTAATGTTTGTTCATTCAGCTTCATGGTGTTTTGTTTTTTTTTTGAAAACTGGTTGAGAGGCTTGGACTGTGCTCTTACCTGTCAGTTTTGAGGTAGATAAATTAGAGAAGTGTTGCCAAACTTTTTAAGGATCAGATGGCAAATATTTTAGGCTTTATGGTCTGTATTGTTTCATTTACAACTACTAGCACTAATTCTCATGTGAATTAAGAACAAGTTGACAAAGTTTGACTATACTATATTGGATAACATAAAATCGCAAGTACAACAACTACCAAACTATCTTTATAATGTGAAAACATCCGTGATATGTACACAATTTGGTGTGACAGTTCTAATAAAACATGATTTCCCAAACAAAGTTGTCCTATATGTAATGGTTGCCAGTCACTGAATTAGAGTAGTCATTTTAGAATTTTATAGGACAAAATTATTGGGACTTTGGGGTAGGGGTGATTTTGGAAGTTTAGGACAAAGAAAATTCATGTAAATTCTAATAGTTTGATTGAAAAGTTGAAAATTTTGGTGCTCAGATATCAGAAAATTATAGGATTAAAATTCTAATCAAGTAATTACTTTAGAGAAAGGATTTGTCCAATGGCAGTTCCTCTTCTCTTTTGTTTCTAATTTCCATTCTTCTAAATAGACTGAGAATTGGGAGGAGATGAGAGGAATTGAGGAAAAGCTAGGTCCACCTCCTCAAGACATTCCTAGCCAGAGAGCAGGGCATGGTTTTGGACTTCTTGATATGAACAGACCTTGGGTTGTAACAGAGCTTGCCTTTAATGCAGTTGTACTGCACAAAACTCCCACAGGTCCATATGCTCTTCACCTCAAGCTCATGAGGTAGCCTAAGGATAGGAAGCCATCCACATTTTACAGAAGAGGAAACCTTGCTCAGGAGATGTCTTACAGTTTCTCCCAGGGCCAAAGGAAAGCTCCAGCATAGAATTTCTAGGCCAGAGGATCCTGTTTTCACTCTGGGAGTGACTAAAGATTGGAGCAGTCATTTGCTAAGAAATATTCTTTCAGCATTGGACATTGTGTTCCCTATGGAAAATCTGGGGAATTACAATTTATGATATTAGTGCTTCTTACTTTGGACTCTAAATGTAACCAGTCTGAAGTCATGCTGATATAGAAAGCTGGACTCTGAATTGAAGGACATTTGATTGTATTGAAGTTCACATTTTCTTTTTCCCCTTACAAACCAAAGAATAAGCAGTCTGGGTAACATTAGAAATGTAAAGAAGATAATTATAAGAGTAGAAATATTGTAAATATTGTAAGAATTGTTCAGGCAAGGCTAACATTTTACTAGAGGAGTCACTGTATTTGGCGACTGCAGAGTATTGGCCACTGAGTAAGGTGTATGCTATTATCAATTTGGGAGAGTTTAGCAATGAAAACAATTTTTAAACTTCTTATGCATTTGTTTGGAAATATGCCAGATACTGAGCTAGGGGCCAGGCATTGAAAATGATACAGATCCCTGTGCTCATATTTTAGTGGTGCTTTGGTCTGAAGAAATGACTTTATGCACCTAATTGATTTTGGAAAAACCAATTTTATTGCAACCGTCAGTTTGCTTTTAGAAGCCCTTTTCATATTCTACAAAGCCTTAGTGTATTGTTGCCTTTTGATTTTCAAAGCATTTAATTATATAGTAGGTTGATACTTGGCTTGTCACAACCACCTTGACAGGTGTAGGGGTCTTTACTCCTGTTTCACAGGTGAGGGAATTAAGACTCAGCTATTTAGATAGGATTATCCTGTTTTCTAATTTGTCTGATATAGTATTGGTTTATGCCTTTTATTCCTAGAGTAATTATTAGTAGTACTGCCTTTTACTCTCAGAACTGTCCCATCTTAAATTGTATTGTTGGCCTGAGTTTAAAGAACTTCTTCAAGGAAGTGGAGAACCCGGCTCTTGAACTCAGATCTTAATCAAATCAGCTCTTACAACAAAAAAGTGGGGCAGAGTTTTGTTGAGCAGCATGTTACTGGGCGTAAGAAAAGGGAGAGTTACTGAGGTACGGTGAATAGTCAGTAAAGCCAAAGGGCCAGGTTCCTGGGGTGGAGGCTTTTGAGGATCCTATGGTTCCCAGTGCTGGTCTTCCAGTGCTTGACTTGTGGTTTTGCTCAAGTGGGGGTTTGAGTGGGAGGGGTTGCCTAGTAGGAGAATGGATTATGTCCTGACCTTAACCTTTACAATTTTCTGCTCATCATCACTCACGTATTTTGAGGAGATTCTATGGTCCTCTGTGAAGAAGGGGCACATGTCTTTAATACTTTTTTTCAGTAGTTTTATACCTAATTTGCTTTGATTATCAGAGCTTGATGGTCAAAGAACCTTTTGAAGATTAACTAGCTGGGACAAGCAGTGCTTGGTACTCCTAGCCTCACCACAGTGTCCTCAGTGACAAAGCAGAGGGTGGTAGAGAGGGACCTTGGGCACCTAGCATCTAAAGTAGTTGTAGGAGCTGTAGGCAGGCTGGGCCATAAGCTCTTGTGAACTCCCAGGGAAGGATAGACAGTCTCGCCCTCTGGCAGCTGGCCTGTGGCTCTTAGTAGTGTACAGGTCACTGAGTTGGAGCCCACAAAGGAAATAGAGGCTCCTTGGGGAAAGGCATAGCTTAGTAGCTCTGTAACCACATTATCTTACACAGTGCTGACATGCTATAGACACTCAATACTTGTTTCATTGGGTAGAATAAGCAAGCATTAATCCCACTGTAGCTGATTACCTGTACTGCCTGATGAGTCACTTTCTGAAGCAGGAATGGTGGTAATATTCATCTTGAGATGAACTGATAGTGCTTATATAGTCTATCGTTCTTTACAAATAGAAGCTATGGAAAGCAAAATTTGCCTGAACTACTGCTGCTTATGTCCCAAACTGGGTAGTCTCTAAAATGTTGTGGCAGTGCTTTTCACTGACACATTTTTGTTCAGTAAATGAAGCAAATTTAAGAGGTAAAACTCTTTTCCCTAAGGGGCCTAATCAAATAAAATGAATTTTTATTTTAAATTCAGCCAACATGTATTGAGTGCCTGACATATGCCCAGCACTGTTCAGGGTACTAGGGTTATAATAATGCATGAGGCAGCCAAGGTCCTTGCTGTTAGAGGAGCTTTGTTGTGGTGTGAATACCCCAAAGAATGTCACATGATATACACTATGAAGGAAATAAAACAGGATTATGGGAGGCAATAGTGGCCCAGAGCAGAGTTACCATTTTAAATCTGTGCTTAACATTTGAGCTGAGACTTGAAGAAGGAAAAGAGCCAGCCATGTGCATAGCATTCCTGGCAGATGCCACAGTTTTGAGGCAGGAATAAGCTAGGCAAGTTCAGAGCAGAGTAGGTATATGAGAGGATAAGAGGTAGACAGGACCTACCTACAAATCACTGTGGGCTTGGATAGGGACTTGGGATTTTATTCTGAGCACAGTGGAAGGTGTTAAGCGAGAAAGAATTTTATTTCATTGTAAAAGAGTAATTTATTAGCTTGGTCGAGTGTTGGGTTTTTGTTGGGCTTTGACGCCAGGATGGAAGCTATTGACATAATCTCAGGAGAGATGCTGGTGGTGGTGGTGGTGGTAGGTTGGAGAGCAGGAGAGGTACAACCAGTGGGATTCACACAGTGGGTGGGTGGCCGTTAGAGAAGGAGAAACCAAGGTGATTTCTAGGTTTTGGGATTTGAATAATCTGGGGAGATAATTTGACGATGGTGGCAAATATTCACATAATGGAGAACAGCATGTTTGGAGAAGGGAAGGAGCTCAGTTTGGGTATAACGTGGGGTGGGGAGAAGCAGGTAGAGTTACAAATGACATAAGATTAACTGAGTTTTTTTTTAATCAGTTCATAACTATTGATTCTGGGCCATTAGTACATGGAGGTGCATTATACCATTTTTACTGCTTCTATATATGTTTAAAAGTTTTCATAACAAGGGAGAACATTTGGGAGGAAAAAATGGTTGTGTATTGAAAGTTAATTTTGAAATGGAAACTCAAATAGGCAGTTGTATATATGAATTTGGAGTTCACTGCTGGAAACAGTCTAAGCCATATAGAAAGGAAGAGGGCCTGGGACTTAGTATTGGCTATATCAGTAATTAGAGGCCACAGAAAATAGCAAGGACCAGCAAAGTTGATGGAGGAGGGGGAAGCCAGGCAGGAGGGAAATCAGCAGTGTT